AGCGGTGAGGAAGAGGTGTACATCCGCGCTCAAAAATCCTGGCGCATGACGCACAAGCAGGAGGAGCGCAGAGACCTGGAGGCGGCACGCGCGGAGGCGGAGAGGAGGATGATCGGGAGCGCGCTCGAGAGAGAGGGAGGCGGCTGTGGTGCAACGGATAGCAATAACAAGTCAATGATCAGAATCAGCAGGGCAAGATGTATGCCTATCTACCATTGCCAGGATTCATCCGCGCAGATGCTCAACGGCCAGAATCCGTCAGGCGAGACGGAAGTTGGCCAGTTTCAGGCAGCGCTTGCGGATTCCGGACAGGGTAGGCCGGTTTCGGGCGCCGTGACCATGCCAGACCATTAGTTGCTGGTTTTGCTGATGTGTCATAGCTGAGTTCTATGCGGCGGGCTTCACTACCGAGAACCTCGAGCTCCTCTCCCGGTTTTACGAAAAGTACCCTGAGTATGCAGAACGTTAGTTTTTCGTCCTGGTGCGCTACGTAGCGGGTGCAAGCGCTCAACCCGGTTTTTGCCACCGAAAACTTTTTTACGCGCTGAACTTTTTTTGTCTTTCTTTGTACAAAAACAAACTTCGACGAAAGTTTTTTGTACTACAATGACTATTTCGCCCTTTCATAGCGCGTCCGTAGCGGCTCCGAAGTCCGGTCTGCATCGATGAGTCCGTCTAGTATATAGCGTGCACCTAATGCACCGAAACCGATACTCGTCGCCCCTTTCCCTTGTGTCAGACATCCGTTTGCCCTCTTGTGATGCTCGATCTCGTCGAATCCCTCCTTTCTTTGCTGTCCCCTCGCCCGCATCTGTCACAGGCCCTTTCGCTCCGATCTCTCACTCTTCTTGTCAATCTTGTCGCCCACCTCCGTCCACATATCACCTGGTATGAATCCCCACACAACATCAACAATGCCTGCGCCTTGTCTCCCAACTTGAAGTCTTTCTTTTGTGCGGCTCTGGATGTTGCTCTCGGACTATTTGACGACTTATGGGATGTGCTCGGAGACGCACTGTGGAAGGGTACTGCTGCTTATCACACAGATAGATGTGAGCGAGGGGTGGTATCAAGGGAGCTGGTGGACATGCTCATTGCACATGGGGTTCCAAACCATATTGGTACGCCTGCAGAGTTTTGTTTGTGATCAGTTAAGTGCTCATATATGCTAGGTGTCTTCAACCTCATCCCTCCTGAGTGTTTCTGTCTTCGGAAGGAATGTGCTCATGCTGGCAAGCCACGACCCCTTGGCCGTCGTAAGTCCACCAATGTGGTGTACTGCTCACGCGAGCATGGCCCAGTCCCTGCCGTCTCCTATTCTGCAAGATGTCCTCGTGAGTCGCCACCATTTCCTTCATTCCTTCATTTGCGCCCTCCAATGCTTGTGGTCTACAGGCTGCCATGATCGTTACTATCATAATTACTATGTCGACCAGGCGAAGAAGATGCGTGTCTACTATGGTGGCACCCCATCCGTCGTTCACGTCAACACACATCTCTTCCTTGAGACGTCAGTTTGTGATCGCTTTCGGAGTGCTACGGCTGCTGCTTGGTGACTTCTGATTCATGCCGTGTTCTTCAGCCTAGTGCTTATCATTGTCGCTAGGGTATCATTTACGAATAATGCTCGAATCTATAACCATGAACATCGTACCGCGATTGAGCGCTTCCCATCGGGTTGGTCGGCTGAGGGTCCCAAGCTTACAGCTATATCTGTCGGTGACGCATTTTTTCTCCATGCACTCCTACATGAGCAACAGGAACGTGCTCTCCCTCTGGTCCTCCCCAACATTGGTGACCAGTCTGCCCGCCTTGACCCTGCCCTGGTCGCACGTACCGCTTCCTTTGTGGGTCCAGGTCGCCCAATGTGGAACCACATCTGTGACCGGTGTTGTGCTATCAAGAAAGAGAATGATAAGTCATGTGGGTATCCCTTGCATTGACTTCCATAATTTGCCGCACTGACAGTTTCTGTGCAGTTTTCATGAGAGCTGTGGTGATGGACGGCATATCAATTGGACGTCCATGCTGCAATGTGCATGACTGTCAGGAGCCATTACCTTCGCAGCGTGCCAGGTTTTGTTCCAAGCATGCCTATCAGAATCACATATGTGTCGTCATTGATTGTACTGCTCAGGCTTCACATGGTTTCCAAACATGCCCAGATCCGGCACACCGCGAGTTAGAAGACCCAAGTCGCCGATCAGCACTGTTTGTGCTCCGCCGACGTTTGGAGCGCCTTCATATGTCAAGTGTGGAAGACGATGGTGTTGGGACATCAGCAGAGCTGACGGAGGTGGATGTTGACGGAGAATGCCCATCCAAGTCGGATGAAGGGAACATCAAGCCCCGTGCACGTTTTGGTCGTCGACGCACACATAATGAGCAGCTCATAGTGGCTACGTGCGGTATCATCCTTGCTCGTGCAACCATGTTTGGTTCAGAAGGTGTTGACGGTGCTCGGGTAGGTTTGTATATTTGATCAAGCATCATGGCACATGTCTCAACACTTCATGTCATACATAGTTACTGCTGCGCGCTGCCTTTCCTACACAACATTCTCTCCCGGAAGTTGTCTATTACGATAACGCATGCATCCTCAAGAAGCATATCATGAACATTCCTGATCCCTACTTCGACCATGTTGCGATGCCGGTTGATCCGTTCCATGCAAAGACCAAGCACAAGGACTCCGATGCTTTCTGTGGCCAATACTGCAATGCGGCATTGTTTCCCGACTTGCTAGTCGGCAACCAATGGCGGTTCAATTCTTCAGCGGCGGAGATGACGAATGCATGGTTTGGTGGATTCCAGGCTATGGTCCGGGAGATGCGTGCTACGCGCTATGACTTTCTCTTGGATGAGGTCTGCAAATTCCGAAACGAGGTAATCAAGGAGGACCTGGCTAAGGCTGGCGCTAGACCTCTCGATGTTCCTCACAAGCTGTTGCTGAATTTGTAATGTACTCTACTCACCACAATCCATTGCTACCAAGTACATATAATCATGCCCGCTCGACTCTTCGTCTGAGCCTACGAACAACTCCAGCTTCGTGAACTGGTGCACACAATAGAGCCCTCGCGTGTCCGCCCCTCTCGCACCAGCCTCCGCCCGAAATGCGTGCCCCAGCCTGACGACGTTCACAGGCAACTCGCTCGCAGACAGGATCCTGTTCGCGAACATCTCATCGAGCGGGGTCTCCGCCATCCCTGCCAGCACGAGCTTCAGGTGATTGTGGCTCGGCAGAGCAGCAAGGTCCGTCGTATGTGCGAGATGGCGCGGCCAGAAGCCGTGCGATGTCCGCGCGGACGACGTCTGGGGTCATGATGGGCGTGTACCCGTACTTCATCACGATGCTCAGCGCATAGGTGGTCAGCGTGAGCTCCAGCAGGGTGCCTTCATTCTTGAGGTAGTACCACGAGAAGCCCGTGACTGTCGCGCCGTCCTCGAGGTCCAGGATGTCGAGAGCGCGACTATTGAGATGGGGTCGCGTGCGGGCGAGGCGGGGTGAACGGGGTCACTGCGACGGGCTCGGGACCGATAGGGACTTCGGGGTGTGTGTCGTTGGGAAGTGCGAGGGCGAGGGTGTGCAGCTCGTCCTCAAGCTGGGCTACGCGGTCCTCTAAGCTCTGTAATCTCCGCCTTCAGAGTCTTCGCCTCGTCCAACACGGCCTGCTTCCTCTGCGGGTCCTTAGCGAGAGTGCGTATCCGCTCACCGTCAACCAAATGCACGTGCCTCCTCACGTTCAAGGGTTCACAGAAAGGTTCCTGATGTGCGCCGACCCCGGTGCCGCGGCGAGCAAATAAGACAATGCGAGCAATGGAGGCGAGAACTCAAGGCAGAGGCTAGTTTGGTTCCATGTCCAGATATGTTACCTGGACCCGAAGGTGGGACGAGGGCGGTACAATCACCAGTAGATGGTGCGCTCGATTGTACGCTTGCGCTGCGGGCTGGGGAGGTACGAGACCGTGCGGCGGACACGCGTCACCGTGGGGTACCTACGGAGATGACGGGAATCAGTGTCAGGGACCTTCTGGCGACGGCTGCTTTGGTGCTCCACCGAGGAGGGGAGGACGTACCATGTGTGGTAGACTTCGCCGGGCTCGAGCTGGACCTCGACGATCTGGCGGCCCTGAGAATGGACACTGCATCAGCGACGCCCACAAATGCTTGCACGCGCTCACGGTGGGGCGGGCGTCTGGACGGGGAAGAGAAGAGGGAGGGAAGTGAGAACGGACGTACAGCATAGTCGATGTGCGAGCCTACGACGAGGCCCTCTTTCCTGCCAGACTCGTGCGAGACGACGACGATGTCACCGGGTTGCCCGTGCGTGCACAATAGGCGTTATAAAATATGATGTGAGAAGAATGATAGGTGAGATGAAGGTGTCCCATGATCAACCCTGCAGATGAGAACGCACCACGATGTCGTCGCTGTATGAGGAAGACATGGTACGAATATCACTTCAAGGAGCTTTACTACTAAAGCGAGTGGGAGGGGTGCGCGAGCTGCGACGAGCGGCGGGGTGAGCACGAGGGTGGGAGTGCTAGTAAGGGCTGAGGCGACGGAGGCCTTGGCAGCAACGGGGTCGACGACGGCGCGAACAACGACGGGCGAGAGATCGCTGGAGTCTTGAGGGCGGTGGGGATGAGGAGAAGGAAAATGCGGCGGAAATTGGGGGAGCTTATATACGAGATTAGATGGTCAGCTAGTTCGCTTGGCCGCGCGAGGCAGCGTGCCCTGAGCACTGCGTCCATGCGCAGAGACGATCACGTCGTCGAAGAACGCGGGGCTGAGAGGTGTAAACGGGTGTGCTGCCTGCCACTGCTTGCGGACAGCGTCCAGCTCGGCGACGAGGGGAGCGAGACCGTCAGGCTGCTGGAGCAGTTCGGCGATGGGCTTGTGCGCAGCCCAAATGGCGTTCGCGTGCAGGGCCCACAGCCGGGTGGCAAGAATGGCGAAGATGTCTCGTTCTGTCTAGAAGACGAGTGACTGTCAATATGCTATCGCTCGGTGAAGGATTGCGAAACGGCATGCCCAACGGGCTCGACGTCCTACCAGTGCAGCCTGAAGGAACGGGGCTCGGCTCGTGGACATCGTCCTTGTGCTCTTCAGGGTATGCCTGTATGATGTCTGTCACGCCCTCCCATGCTTTGAGTGGTTTGCGGGAGAGGGACCTGGGCAAGCTGGCGTTGATCATGTGAACGCTCTCGTCAAACGTTGTGAAACCCTTCCACGCCTTCTCCGCAGAGAGTTCGGGACCGACACCAGCATGAGCGGCGGCACGGTATGCGGGTAGTATGATGATGGTCTTGAGGGGGCCAGACGCCCCATCCAAGCTAGAGATGGCACCAACAAGCGTGTCATGAGCGCTCTGGAGGTATGTCGAAGTCATGGTCTTGATGCTGACAGGGAGCAGGATGTGGTGAGTGTGGTGAAGAGCAGGCATGTAACTGTCGAACATGTACGGAGTCGTACCGACCCGATCGTCGATGGAAAATGCCTGCCGGCCTATCTCGATGCGAACAGCAAGGAAGTCGAAGTTCTGTGAAATATTCGTCCATCATTCGTGTGGTGGAAGACAGTGGACATACCTGTGAGTCGCGATACACTTGACTAATGAGCTGGCGCAGAGTCAGAACGTAGAAGTCCTGGACTAGGCAAAGGATACGCACTGACGGCGATGCTACGAACACCCTTTCCTAGCCCAATGTCGTAACACGGAAGATAGGCCCGAGTGTCTTCCTGATAAGCAGCGAAGGGTTATGTAGCATCCTACTAGAAGGGCGTAAAGAAACCTACGTCATATACTAAAGAATCCATCTGGATCCTTGCCCATCTCTGCTGCATTTCCAACCCATGGTATCCAGTACGGTGTGCGAGGAAGACGGGAAGAGTCAGCTCCACGGATGATGTTCTGAGCCCAGTACGGTCCGACGAGAACAAGAGCGAAGGCAAGAGGTGAATGCGTCACCAGGCCGACAGAGTTGGCCAAAGGGGTGCCGACGTTATCTTCCGACATCTATGAGTGAGCAAAGCGGCAGACAGTGGAATGGTGTGGGTCCAGCAGAACCTGAGAACTTGGGCAAAGGAAGGCCCGCGGTTAAGCCAAGCCTGCGGGCCTTACGTGGTCTGCGGGTCACAGGAGCTTGAGGCGAGTTTGACACAGAGCGAGTCGGGCGTTTTGGGCAGGGAGGAAGACGTCGGGATGAGCAGCCGCGATGAAGAAAGCGGACCTCAGATGGTATGGTGCAGGAGCATCGGAAGTCGATGTAGATGGTCTGGCCATGTCCAAGACTTGGCGCAGTGTCCGTGCGGCGCAAATTCACGAGGGTCACGGAGGCCTCGGTACCGCTGACGGACGCGGAGCCTCGGGACTTGTGCAGAGCGGTAGGGTGAGTATTGCGTATATCTAAAGGCGCTGGGGTTTTGACACCGTCTCGTGTCTCGGTATGTGATTCGGCTCTCTGGATGGACGGGCGCAACGTATCGGAGGGCGTGCTTGTATATGAAAGCTGCAGTCGTCGTGCGCAGCTTCGGAGAATGCGCGGGCGGGGGAAGGTTGTGTAGGAGGGATGAAGGCGGGTGCGAGGAGCGGCGTAACGCGAGGTGGGTTGGGTTGTGTTGGGCGCGAGGCCATGGCAGATGGAGCATGCGCATATTTGAACGGGGAGACCGCTCCGCATATATCGCACGACTCACCGCTATCCCTTCTCCTGTCCTCGGTAGACGATCACATTTGCGTGTGCCATTGCCCGCGTACCCGCATGTGGCCGCGCGCTTGTGCAGCCATGCTTGGTAGCATGCCCAGGGCAGTCTGAGTTGATTGGGCAGACGCACAGGTCGTGTTATAGATACGGTGTTCGTGACATGCTGTGAGTGCTTGTGAAAGCCGACAAGCTTGTGAGGGGTGGATACTTACAGAGGGATCTCGCAACTGAATACGACAGGCGCATAAGGAGCGAGTCTCGCTCCTCTCCCTCATCCATATTTTGACAGGGCAGACACGCGTAGAATGAGAAGCGCAAGAGAATAATATCGAAACGCTGCCCGAAGACAGCGCACAAGCCGCAGTTTGCAGTCAGGAAGCACAGAGAGCAAGCGGTGTGGCCTGCGAGAGCAAGCACCCTCCGCAAGCGAGACAGGCACGCTGTCGTCATCGTTCGACACGGGCGCCTCCATCTGTCCTTTCCTCGCCTCTGCCTCCCAGCTTCACCTGCCCAGAATGACCCCTCCTCCCGCCGTCATATGGCCTAATAACTGTGAGTCCTTCGGCATGTTTCCAGTCTTTCTCTGTCTTTGTATGTTTCTGTCCAACCCTCTTGCCACTTCCCTCCCATTCACCACACGATCGCGCGGCTGTGACTGCCCCTCCCCGCGCGACCATCGTCTTCAGTCGTGCAGGTTGTTCGCTATGTCACACGACCTTCCTGCCGACGCTGAGAGTTATAGTTCGTTCGTGCATCTTTTCTATTTTTCTGATAGCCCTTCCGCTCTCCTTTGCTGAGCTCATTCTGACTCTATGACGCCTTTGCTCTTACCTTGGGCCTTTGCTGGCGACTGGTCTGTCCGCGGCTTGCGCGCCCCTTGGCATCCGCCTCTCCCGGAGAAGGTTAGCCAAATACTTGTTGAGGCGAATCTATGCTCACACCTGTTCTACAGATTGAGTCTACGCATCCTAGCAAACCTCGCTGTATGCCGACGTGTTCTCGTTGAGCCGTCTGTTGGGACGCGTCATGTTTGCTGATTATACTTGGATACGTTCTCCACACATCCTTCTCGACTCGGACCCTTTGCGCACCTTCCCTGTTCATGCACTCCCTCGGTGAGTATTCGCATTCCTTCTGTCTCTTTCTTTTCTACGCGCTGTTCTGATCATAAGCTACGCGGCCCTTTTGCCTCCCGGATTGCAGGCGCAGGGCATGCCTATGGTATTATTGCCCTCATCGAGAAACACCACAATCAGCTGAGGGCTACACTCCGGCAGCGGCGCGACTTCGCGAAGAACATCAAGATTGCCGCGCAACATCTCGAGATCTGCGATGGTCAACGCAAACACGATGCTCCACCATCAGGCCAACGGGACGAACATGAACATGCTTGAACGGTCATGCAAAGCCGTCGATGCAGCCCGGCCAGGAGGAGACGGACATGCCATTGACGTTGTTGATGCCACCGATTGAGTAGCAGCAGCCGATTGCCTCCCGATAAGCGACTCTCGCAGGGCTACATCCTCCGACCCCCAATGCTTTCATACTCTTTCGTGCGAACTTCGTTCGTCAAAATCACGTCCTGGGGTCGATCAAGACAAACGACAGTTCGCCATCAAAGATCGTCGGTAACTGCTGGCGCGCCTTGTCCTTGGAGAAGAGGTACTAGGAGGTCGAGGCGAAGAAGGCCAAGGCTGCCCACCGCAAACACTACCCCCAACTATCGCCTCCGCCCCGTAGGACAAGGGCAAGAACGGTGCAGTCACTGTCGACAAGCGCAAGGAGAAGCCTCCGACACAGCCTGCGATTGAGGAGCGATGCGCGGTTGTCGCGCAGCTTCTGCTTGATGGGAAGCAGGGGAGGAGCTTGTGGTAGTGATTAGGCAGATTGACATAGTGCGCCACCTGTCTCCCCCCGACAGTGTCGACTCGCAGCATCTCGAGCACTACATGCAGCAGCCGCTCCCTACGCACCCCCACCCGGTGTACCTGCAGCGTCGCCCGTCCTCCGGCCCTCCGATCTCGCTCCCTGTTACGACTGACTGTCGGGCGAGTAAGTGGAGACGAGCGAGGCAGGCAGGAGCGCCGACGAGCTCTGATCGCAGTGAGACTGGAGCGGAGCTCAACAGGCAGGACTGGAGACAAGTTGTGTATTGAGCGAAGTATCTACAGAGCGAAATACACGATGGCTTACCTGGAGACAAGAGGTCGAAACTAGAGTCTCCAGGTAGCAAGGGATCCAGCTATATACGAGGAACGAACAATGGGCGCTAAGGGGACAATGGCGTTGCCATGGGCACCGAGTACAAGGCCGTAGGACAATAGCGAAGAGAGAAACAAGGGGAGCTGTTGTCCGTGTGCAAACAAGGGGAAACCACGCCGAATAGAGAACAAGGGGTGAACGTACAAGGCAGTGGTCC